AGCAGAGGAGGTTAAGTGTCACTGTAACAAGAATTTCAATTAGGGACATCCCCAAGCAGACTGAAAGACTTGTCAGAGAGAAGTGTCACAAATGTCACACAGAAGTGTCCCTTTCCACATAATGGGGGCCCCGGTAGTGTAGGGAGAAGCTTCTTGGCATACTGGTATGGTTTTCATAGTAAAAGCGGGCAAAGCAGGGAGTTCAGTAGTGACACTTACCTGGCAGAATGGGAGAGACAAGTGGTTAGAGCAGGAAGTGAATAGGCAGGGTTTTCTGCCCCTCTAGCCAGTCCCAAATAATCACACAGAGACATTATTAATTATAAATGCTTGACCAAAAGCTCAGGCTTGTTACTAACTAACTCTTACATCTTGAATTAACCCATATTTTTTAATCTATGCTCTTTCTCGTGGCTTGGTACCTTTTCTCAGTACAGCAAGTTCATTTCCTTCTCTCTGAGCCTCTTTGTGACTCATGAGATGATTCTTCTCCGTGCTCTTTTGTTTGCCAATCCTGTCTAATCTCTACCTGTTCAGCTATTGGCCATTCAGCTTCTTTTCAAAACCAGTCACTGCAATGTATATTTACACACTGTCAAGGACTATTTAGCAGTAGAGGAGAAAACAGCAGGAGTGGTATAAGTGTCTTAGTAAGTTGCTGAAGGTTCCTAGTAAGTTGTTAAAGGTTTCTTATCCCACCAGGTCCTATCACCCTTATCAACCCCAAATAAGCACACAGAAACTTATATTAATTATAAGCCTGTTGGCCGATGACTAGGGCTTCTTATTGGGTAGCTCTGTCTTAATGTTAACCCATCTATTAATCTAAGTGTTTCCACATGGTCTTATCTTACCAGAGAAAGATCCGGATCTTTTACTCCTTTGTAGTCTACAGTCTACATGGCGCCTGTCTTTGGCAGGCTCCCTCTGCCTACCTTTCTTAGAATTCTCATAGTCCTAGTCCCGCCCATCTTCCTGACTCATTGGCCAGACAGTGTTTTATCCATCAACCAATAAGAGAAACATATATATGGAAGGACATCCCCCATCAGAATTGCCCACATGGTAGGGCCCTGAAGGGTGTTGCAGGGAATATGCCCACATGGGGCAGCCTGAAAGGATGTACATGGTAGGGATATACCCATGTTGCTGGCATCCCAAAAAGGGGCTAGCAGGGATAGAGGATACTGACTGAATAGGCAAGGAGAGATGGAGGGTTTAGTTAAGATGGCCTTAATGAGTTCCAAGTTCAATTATGTGCCTTTCTAAAACTTTAGATTGTCTTCTTGGGTTTTTTCACCTCAAAGCTATTTAACAAAAACATTTTAGTCTAACTGTTATTGTCAAAGCTTTGTTTCAGTTGTGATGCACTCCGAAACCTGTGAACAAATCTCTCAACATTATGGTTAAAATAATTCAAACTAGCTGGGCTACTAGGACTCAACTGTTAATCATTTACTTGAGTTACAATCTATGCAGCTCTGTAGGTGAAGCTCAGAGGCCCTGGCTATGAAACATATCCTTGTGTTTATTGTTATTCATCAAAACTTTGTATAGTTTATCATTATTATTCTCAATTTAGACAGTACAGCTTAGGGAGGGGTCGTCGTGACAATCCACAGGTAAAAATGCACAGCAGAACAGGATGTTTCCAAGAGATAAACTCGCTGTGTTACAGGCAGTGGAGATCTCCCCACACCCACTCACACCATGCTAGACGTCAGGGAAAGAGCCGCCGCAAACATGTGAAGGCATAGCAGAAGCAAAGGACACTCTGGGGTCTGCAGTCCTGTGTGCTTCCTAAAGGAGAGTCGCCCATCAGAGTTTCCTCCTGGTGGGCTGACTCCTGGAACTCAATTGCCACCCGCAGCTCCTCTGGTATGGTCATCGATCAGAACAGTCTTCAGGCTTAGTGGCAAGCACCTTTACCCACTGGTCCCTCCTTCTGGCCCCATGTTTATATTTTGAGTTTGAAGTCTTGCTGTGTTGTCCAGGACAGTGTTAGATTTATTGGGTTCATTACATTACACATACAGAGACCTTGGAACACACAACTCTAAATGGGAAGTCTCCATTAAACCCCTCTGCTCAGAGCTCAGGGAACCCTGTGGAAGAGTATGGTGGAGAAGGAATGGAGGACACCAGGAGAACAAAGCAAGCAAGGCTCACACGAACTCATAGAGACTGAGGCAGCAAGCACAGGGCCTACATGGGCCTGCTTCAGGTCCTCTGCATATATGTTATAGCTTCCAGTATCTAGTATTTTTATGGGACTCTTGAGTGTGTGAATGAGTGGGTCTCTAATTTTTGGGCCTCTTCTTGGGGCTCTTTTCCTTTTCTTGTTTTGCCTTGTTCAACTTTTACTTGATATATATTTATTTTTGAGACAGGGTCTTGCTGTAGCTTTAGAGCCTGCCCTGGAATTCACTCTGTAGACCAGGCTGGTCTCCAACTCACACCTGCCTCTGCCTCCTGAGTGCTGGACTAAAAGCATGAGCTTGACTATCTTATATTTTATTTTGTTATGTTTTGTGGTTATCTCTTAGAAGCCTCTTCTTTTCTAGGAGAGGCAGAAAGGAGGTGGATCTGGGTGGGAGGATGGTGGGGAGGAAGTAGGAGGAATAGAGGCAGGGGAAACTGTAACCAGGATATATTTAATGAGAAAGTATTTTCAATGAAGAGGAAAGGGAGAGGACACACACACACACACACACACACACACACACACACACACACACACACACACAGAGAGAGAGAGAGAGAGAGAGAGAGAGAGAGAGAGAGAGAGAGAGAGAGAGAGAGAGAATTACTGGGCTCAACTAATTCTCCTGCCTTGCTCTTTAGTAGTTAGGCATATAGGCATGTGCCAGTGTGCCTAGATTGTGAACAGATTTGGGCTTTTGTCCTAAGCATGGCCTCTAGGGCCCTGCACATGCTCAGTGAGTTCTCCACACTGAGTCACATCACCAGCTAGCCTTTTGAATACTCAAGGAAACAAAATTATTTTAAGGCAGTTCCAGTAAATAGTTTTGGGGGCCCTTACTGTGTTCATTGCCCTTTCTTGACATTTTATAGTTTTATGATGTAACCTGGCATACGGGAGGGCTGTATAATATAAACTGTTAGTACAGCTCTCTGCTTTCTCAAGTGTTGAACGTGTGTCTTTTATTTCTGTTCTTCTGAGGTAGGGTCTCTTTGGTAGCCAGCCCAACTGACTTTGAACTCTTTCAATCCCCCTGCCTCAGCTTCCCAGTGAGTTGGGATAACAGGTGTGTGCTGCCATGCTTGTTTTCTTCTCTTTTTCTGGACCTGGTTATTTTCTAGAACATTGACTAAAGAATCTGTTCTGCATATCGATTGGGATGCGCTTACACACCTTTGAAACAGTTTCTCATCAAATTCTCGAAGATAGTCGATGCTATAGATCAACTTTGAATGAGGATTAGTGTAAGAGCTGGGCACGACGGCACACAGCTGTAGTCCTAGCTCTGGGGCATCTGAAGCATGAGGACTGCTGAAATTCTACACTAGAATTTGAGTTCCAGGTCAGCCAGGGTTACAGAGGGAGGGAGGGAGGGCAGGGGGAGGGAAAGAGGATCCATATGGATTAACAAGATTACAGGTGGAGCTCAGTTGGCAAAATGCTTGTCCAGCATGTATGAAGCCCTGGTTTTTGATACCCAAAGCTACATAAACTGGACATGGTGGAGTACACTTGTAATCTCCACACTCAGGGCACTCAGGAGTTGAAGATAAGAGGATCAGGAAATTCAAGGCCATCACTGACTATTATCAAGCCTGAGGCTAGCCTGGGCTGAATGACCCTCCCTGCAGAGGTGTGTGTGTGTGTGTGTGTGTGTGTGTGTGTGTGTGTGTGTGTGTGTGTGTGTGTGTGTGTGTAGGGTGGAGTCTGCAGAGCAAATCCAATAAAATACTTGTCATCCTGCTAATAGATCAAAAGGTTAATGCAGATTTAGTATTTGCAGAATCCCAAAGTTGTGTGCTTCCCTTTGACAAACTGTCAAAACCCTCAGAATGCCAGAAGAATGGAACTAAGAATAATAAGAATGATGCACACTTAAATATTTTTAAGATGGTAAATTCTATACAGTTAAGTTTTATCACAATAAAAATCATGACATTTCAGCATGGAGAGATAGCTTAGTGGGTAAAATGCTTGCTGTATAAGCCGAGTTCCCCCAGAATCCATGTAGAAATTTGAGTGTGGTGGCATGCATCTATACATTTAGCACTGAGGTGAACATGGTGACAGTCAGATTCTTGAGGCTCACTGGCCAGAGTCTAGCAGAAAGTTGAGCCCCCAGGTTCAGTGAGAGACCATGACTCAAAAAGAAAACCAGAGACATGATTTTGGAAGACACCTTGACATCAGCCTCTAGGCTCCACACACAAGCATGGGCAAGAACACCCGAGTGTACATACTTGCAAACATGTGCATACTTGCAAACATAGCACATGTACAAAACAAAATATTATGATACCTCCACAAATTTGCAATACAGTTATGTTTTCTTTTTCTCAAGACTGGGTTTCTCTATGTAGTGTTGGCTGTCCTGGAACTCACAGAGAACTCACCTGTCTCTGCCTCCTGAGTGCTAGAATTAAAGGCATGGGCCACCACCATCTGGCTACATGTGTCTTTAATGTAACGGATGAGCTCAGTATTTTTTATTTTTGTTTTTGTTTGGTTTTTTTTTTTTTTCAGGAGCAATCCAAGTGAAAGGTGTGCATCAGGAATTCCTAAATTTCACAGAGGTTCTTCGTGGTGGGGCTGAGGGTTTGCTGGTGCTACTCCGCGCAGTTGGGGCCCTCTGAATCTGGTATCTTTCACAAACATTCAAACACACCCCAAACTCAGATGCTTATTGCACGGAGAGCCTTTAGAAACCCAGGCCAACATCTCTCCCTTTCTGATGCCGGCTTGTCTGTTTTAAGTGGAGTGGGAGTAATAGAGAGCAACTGGCTCTAAAAATGGGGTAACCACTTTTAACTAGCAAAGATTTGGGAAAGAGAAATCAACCTATGATTTAAAGGTTTTTACTGGTTGGGGTCCAAAAGATGTCAAAATTTCCACCTGCTAAGAAGGTAGTAGATAAAAGCAAGAAGCCATAATTTTGATAACTATGGAAAGCAGTTCTGGAAGAGTTGTTTAGAAAATGTAGACTTTTCATTGCCGAAACCCTCTGAACCCTTTCCGTCTCCTCTTTCTTCCTGTGTCCAGGTCACACTCACTGAAATCTGATGGGGAGGAAAACCCAGAATTGCCAGAGGAATTTCTGTTCATGTAGGCATCATGCAACCGCAAGTCCTTAGGGGAAAGCAGCTCTTGGCAGACATTCCAGGACCACGTGTATGTAGAGAAGGTGTTGTAAAAGGACTCATTGTTGGTTTCGATCCCAATCAAATCCCCTCGGATCTTTTTCCAGAGACTCAGCATTTCTTTTCGGTGTTCAAGGGCAATTCCTAAATTATAGGTATCTGTGGCTCTCTTTACCTGCATCAAGAGGGCAGATATTAACTTAGTGTAGTTACCTTAACTACTACCTTTGACTTATAAACCATAATTATTGGTGGCTTGAGAGATACACATATGAAAATCACTGAGACAACATATGGGGTCGCATGGGACTATGAGATAGGAGTTGGTAGAAATCAAAATGTGTCACTTGAAAGCTGGGTATAGTGGTGCACACCTTTAATCCCAGCACTCAGGAGGCAGAGACAGGTGTGTCTCTGTGAGTTTGAGGCCAGCCCCATTTACATAGTGACTTCCAGGAGAGAAGTGCAGGGCTAAGTTAGGATGTGTAGGTACCAGATTTAGCCTAAGACAGGGAGAAGATGCTGAGCTGAGCAAATCCTTAAGGTTGAGGTATCAAGGGGTGGCGGGAAGAATTCCAGGAAGAAGAGGCCACATAAACAAGTGCTTGAAGACAATAAACGCCCTGGACTTGGCAGGAGAGTTGGAGCATCTTGGTGTTGCTGGGGTGTTGGGGTGAAAGTGAATACAGTGACAGGGAAGTCACTCTGAAGGTTAGTGGGCTCAGTGCAGTGGAGGAGAGCCCTTCATAGAAAGCATGCTGTGGGGGCTGTTTTCTGAGGGAAGTGAGCTAAATCCCTCAGTTGTGTAGAGTAGAAAACTCTGTCATTCTTGGAGGGGAAGTCTCCGTAGCCCAGGCTGGCCTTGACTTTCTTTATGCAGCACAGGCTGCTCTTCAACTTGTAATCTTCTTCTACCATCTCTGGGGTGCTACTTGGAAGTGTTTACTGCACCCATCCTTCCCAGCCCCTAGAACTGGGTATTAAACCGGGGGCTCTGTCCATGCCACTGAGTGATACCTTCAGCTCAACACTTACCTTCAAGGAGGACAATGTCATGTTTGGATCTTCATGTTAGATCATTAGTAGCTATGTGGGAAATGGTTGCGGGTGGGGAAAGCTGCAGCACTAAGGATACCAGATTAGAGGCTGTTGTCCAGGCAAATCTTATGGAAGGACTCGACTCAGGCAGAGAGAACAGGGATAGAGTGAAGGGAAAAGCATCCCAGGATGAGTTGGACTAGATTTAGTGACTGGTGGAGGTAAGGAGTGAGGGGAGGCAACATTGAGGGTGCCCCCTGGCCTTCTAGCTTCAGTGACTGAGTAAATGGTGTATCTACAACCGAGATACAGCATCCTGGGGAGAGCAGATTGGTGTAGGAGATGAGTGAGCATGGGACATGTTGAACGTGATGTGTTATGAGACCTAGCATATGGGGGGAAGTTTATTAGATGGTGAATGAGGTAAGGCAGATTAGTTATTAGTATATAGGTGGGTACTGCTAAACAATTGCTAAACAAAGACAGTAGGTTAAATAGTCCACATGCTCACCCTAGCTTCCTTCACTGGACACAGAGAACCCTGAGTTACAAGGAGGCTAAACTAATGATCTTTTCAAGCCCCTTAGACTTTGGAGCAGCTGATGCTGGTGCTGGAGGTCTCTGGCCACAAGCAGCCTCCATTTACTTTCGTGTTTATGTGTTAATAGTGAGACAGGAGTAGTCAGCTACCCATGGCTTTGTGTTCTGAAGTTCCATACAACCCAGAGCATTGCTATTGCCCCCTTCTCTGTGACTTTACCCTCACCCCAAACTTTCTTAGAGCAGGAACCGTGCTTTTCTCTCCGTGGTGTCTCCTAATGTCAGAACTCATGGATACACATTTACAAGTGAGTGTGAGTAGGTACTGTGAGAAGAAAACTGGGAGTAGGCGTTAAGATAAAAAAAAAAAAAAAAAAAAAAAAAAAAAAAAGGCAAAAGATACCTAAGGAATATATAAAAGCCGAGGCTGACCCCTGGCACACATATAGTCTCTCTCTCTCTCTCTCTCTCTCTCTCTCTCTCTCTCTCTCTCTCTCTCTCTCTCTCTCTCACACACACACACACAGTAAGGCATGGGCAGAGAGGCTCCAGAATGCAAACTTCCACTTGGCTGTAGCCTAACATCTTAGCAACAGAGAAGGTCAGGGTGTATTTACACCATGCCACCCTCCTTCTGCATTTGATGCTAACAGTATGCTCTCGACGCTTCTACCCCCTTGGTCTTCACAAATCATACATTCAGTGCTTGCATTCTGTGTCTTTTCCTTTCCTCTCACCTGAGTCCCTCAAGTAATGCTATCTTCCCAGAGTTCTGGGAGTGACACAGCTTGTCTTGTCTCACTATAAAATGGAGAATTTTGTTTGTTTTTGGAGGCAGAGTCTTCCCAGCAGAAAATACCTTTGACAGTGCAGTCTGGGAAGGTGTTTGACAGTGAATACTCACATGCTGTTTGATAGCCGCTGCATCAGATACTGTCCAATGCTGCTTCTTCTTGAATAGGTGATCAATGGCTAAGATGTCATCTGAATAGCCTGAGGCAGACTTGATAGGTTTTACAGCTGCGGCCTTTATGCACATAAAAAAATTCAGTAAAATATTTTAGTTTCAGTTATAACAAAGATATAATTATACATATGTATAACATGCTATAGTGAAACCTTTTTGTATGTTACTTTAGACATTAATTATAAAAAGACATAGTGTGTGTGTGTGTGTGTGTGTGTGTGTGTGTGTGTGTGAGATTAGTATGAAGTTGGGCATAACGGTACATACTTGTAATGCCAGTCCTTGGGAGACTATAGCAAGAAAATTGATATGAGTTCCATGCCAGCCTGGGCTACAATGTGACTGTGTTTTACAAAAACAGAACCAGTTTCTTCTTTTTTTGTTTTTTTTTTTTTTTTTTCTTTTTGTTTTGTCTCTTGAAACAGGGTTTCTCTGTATAACCGGTCTGGCTGTCCTGGAACTCACTCTATAGGCCAGGCTGGCCTTGAACTCACAGAGATCCATCTGCCTCTGTCTCCTGAGAGCTGGGACTAAAGGGGTGCACCGCCACTACCTGGTCAGAATTTTTTTTTTCTTTTCCCAAGACATGGTTTCTGTGTAGCTTTGTAGACCAGATTGGCCTCGAACTCACAGAGATCCACCTGCCTCTGCCTCCCCAGTGGTGGGAGTAAAGGCGTGTGCCACCAATGCCCAGCTGGAGTTGGGTTCTTACAAATGGAAGTATTTAAATTCTCTTGTATGACAGATGAAATCTCACCTGTGCTTTCCAATCTCTTTTATGGAAAAAATAGTCCTCAAAGAAACTCAGAGGCTCCTTTCTCCTTAGCATCTCTAACTTCTGTATGTCTTTGAATGGTTTTCCCATCACCACCCCGTCCACATCAGGGAACAATGGAAAGACAGGTATTTTTGAGTACGGGCTACCTGTAGGGAGATCACACCCTAAAAAGATAAAAACAAAAGTGGCATTATCAATGATGTTTAAAGTTCCTGTAATGGCAAGCATGCAGAGCCTAGCATGCTTTTGTCTGCTCTCCTGTGGCCCTGGCTTCTCTGCCTCAGCCTCATGTTCCCGCCTCACACCCATCTGCAGACTTCACTCTGGGGTTTGAGGGCTCAGTGAGGGGGTCCTCTGCTTCTAAATGCAATCTGTGTGACAGAGAGTAGTGACTCGAAGAGTGTCGCTCGGGGCTCTGCACTGGGCCTCTGGGGTTTATTTCTGACCAGTTAGTTACAGGGACACCAGTCTTAACAATGGAGAGGGAAAATGGCTCTTACGCTTGAGTGCATTGAGAAATTTATATAAATCCCTTTCTTTCATTATTGAGATCCTGGCGGAATTGGCAAAGGCGGCGGTGCTTGATCGCGGAGGAGTGCATATGTCTGCTTTAAAGCCCCTTTTCCCATACGGGCTGTACAGAGTTTCTGAGTAGCTCTCCTGGAATTTTTTTCGGAAATAGCTTAAAGAGAAAATACAGGTAATTTAGAAATGGAATAAAGAATTGTTAGGACAAAAAGAACATCAAACTGCAAGTTATAGATGTTGACTGATGTTTATTTAAAATCTATTTAAAACTTATTGGCATATGTTAATCACACATAATAACAGGTTTCGTCATGGCATTTCCATACATGTATTTTTACTATATTCACTCCATTACTGTCTCCTGTTCCTCTCTGGCTCCCCTTTCTCTTTCCACTTTAGTCCCTTCTGTCTTTCTTCTTTTACATTCTCTCTCCCTCTCCCTCCCCACTCCTTCCCTTTCTCCCCATATTCCTTTGTATTCTAATTTTCTCCCTCTCCTCTCCTCCCTCCCCTCAGCCTTATCCCCTCTCTTTCTTTCTGGCTTGAAGACTCAATGTGTGTTTCTAGGGTTGATTACAGGGTCCTGGTGAAGGCTTATTTGCAAGAGCTTGGGCTCCTTACTCCTGGTGATGCCCCTGAAGAAGATGCCAAATACTGCAGTACTTTGCATTGGGTTTTAAAATGCATTTTTTCCTTTTTTGAGACAGGGTCTCACTTTGTATCCTAGGTTGGCATTGTACTCAGGGTGTCCTTTCTGCTTCAGAGTGTGGGGGGGGTCACAGCATGAGCCACCACGCCTGCCTAGAAAGCTATGCTTATTTGTAGCATTTGAATGTTTTCTATGTTCTAGGATCAAACCCAGACCATTGTGCATGCTAGGGAAGCAGTCTACCACTCAGCTACACACTATCCCTATTTCCTCTTTTTAGGTCTTTTTAAGAAAGCTTGTGACCAGTTTTTCCAGTATGGGGAACTGAACTCAGGACCTTGCACATGCCAGCCAAGAACTCTAGACACTGAGCTGCAGCCTCAGCTATTATTTCCTCTTGTTAAACTGATTCCTTTATCGTTTACATAAGGACCATCTTAGTCTCTTTTTATAGTTTTTGACATTGTTAAAATTTATTAATCTTTTTGCTGTATGAGACAGGGTTTCTTTGTGTAACAGCTCTGACTGTACTGGAATTCACTTTGTAGACTAAGCTCACCCCACTCACAGAGATCCTACCTACCACCACCACCGCTGGATACGTTAATGAATGTGTGTGTATGCATGTATGTGTACGCATGTACGCATGTACATTGATGTATGCTAGTGCAACATTTTGAACAAATCATCCCATTTTCTCTTGGTTTGTAAGATTTCTGGAGAGAAGTCTGCTGGTATTGTAATAGGGATTTCTTTATTTTTTTTCTTTTTAAGATTAATTTATTATATATACCGTGTTCTGCATGCATGTATGCCTGCAGGCCAGAAGAGGGCACCAGATTTCATTACAAATGATTGGGAGCCACCATGTGGTTGCTGGGAATTGAACCCAGGACCTCTGGAACACGAGCTAGTTTCCTTAACCAGTGAGCCATCTCTCCAGCCCCTAAGGATTTCTTTATATGATTTGATGCTGGTATTATTTTTTTTCCTTTAGATTTTCATTTGTCTTACACTTTTTTGATTTTTTTTTTTAAATTTTGGGTCTTACTGTGTAGTTCTGGAACTTGATATATAGACCAGGCTTGTTCTGAATTCACAGAAATCTACCTACCTCTGTCTCCCATGTGCTGGGTTAAAGGCATATGCTACCATGCCTGGTTATCTTGTATTCTGATGCCCTGGAGATACTTTTTTTCCCCACTGTTATCTGGAAAGGGTCTTAACGACTTCCTAGATCTTGGGTCTCTATTTCCCAGGATTTGGAAATTTTTCAGAAGTTAAAGAACAACCTCATAAGACAGCCAAATAAACGACCACACAACCCACTTTCAATAAAAACAGCAGTGTTATTGAAAGTGCCCTGTCCACTTAGGAGTGAGAGGCAATGCAGGACAGGAGCACAGGTCACTGGGCTAACACAGCACTCCACTCTTGGGCAAGCATTTGATCTGCTTTCTGGACTTTTTGTGCACTCTTTAGGTAAGGACTCTATTAAATAATAACACACCCTTTTTATTCTGTTTATTCCACAGTGTAAGAAATAACACTGATTTGCAGTGTAACATGTTGGGGTGTTGGCTGCTACACCTGTATTGCTCTGTGCCATCCCATAATTGCCCTGTAAGGCAGGTGGTGGGGTTCCCACTTGCACTTTGTAGGTGAGGAAACAAAGACGGAGAAGAAAAGGCTAGCTTGTGTTGGGTTAGGGATGGCTAAAGGTTTTTTGTTTGTTTGTTTTTGATGTCTTATGCCCATGTGGGGCCTCAGCATAGTGTGGTCTCCCCCTTATGAGTTCAGAACCAGGCGAGAGTGCTGTGGCATTTGTAGCCTTTTGCCCCCCTCCCCCTGGCTTTCTTTTGTTTTGGATTGGACTCTGTGATGTAGGATGCTGGTGACACATCCTCAGTAAGCTGCCTTTACCTGTTCTGATGCTACTCACCTTACCAGCTCTATTATATCCTTTCTGTGCAGGGCTGAAGTCTCTACAAGTTTTGATAGGATTTCGAATAATAAGATCCCTGGGTTGTTAGCTAAATCCAAACACAGTTTCCTTTCTGGAACTATAGGGTAAATAAAAAAAGAGAAATTTCAAAATGTCTTCTGAGAAAACCATCTATTAAAAACTTACTGAGAATTTATAACAATATTAAATCAGGGACTAGAAATATGGTAAAACATTAAAAATGTTCTATTTGGGGAAACATCATTTTGATTACTGAGTAGATACATAATCATAGTCCAATGGCATCTTAAATACATTAGTACTTTTAATATCTGCATGCATAATATGTTAAAGATGATTGTCTTGTTCTTCTCTGAAAGGAAATTAATAAATATCTCTAGTTTGCAGAGAAACTCTCATTTGACACGGTGTTTGCTACCACCAATTTTTCTTTACCTTGGGGACAGTCTGAACCTAAGAATGGGTATGTTTTCAAAGCTACTTGTGGGGTTTGGAATCTGGAATCCTAGAGCATGTGATATGAGTAGTGGTTGGATTTTCCAAGGCAGACTGTCAAGTTCAGAAACAGAGCATGAGAGGTTGATGGAAGCTTCTGATTTGCACAGACTAATGGCCATAGGGGAGAGTGAGCTTTCCAACCCCCCCCCCCAGCCTCCCATTGAGGGATGAAGCTTCATTAGGGTGTGGAAACCATAAGTTACCCAAGCTCTAGAAAAAGAAGTAGAGCATGTGCTTCGTGAAGTACTCACACACTATGAAGGGAAAAGGAGGGGTTGGAGAGATGGCTCAGTGGTTAAGAGCAATGACTACCTTTCTAAAGGACTTGGGTGTAACTTGAAGTTTTTGCTCTTTTGGCTTTTTGGACTCGTGTGTGTGTGTGTGTGTGTGTGTGTGTGTGTGTGTGTGTGTGTATCACCCAGCTCCCAAGTAAATTACACATGGAGGCTTATTCTTTGTTATGCATGCCTTGCTTTAGCTTGGCTTGTTTCTAGCCAGCTTTTCTTAAATGAACCTGGCTGTCTCTTGCCTCTGGGCTTTTCCCTTTTCTTACTTCTGTATATCTTACTTTCACTCTTTACTCCTTGGCTGGCCAGGTGGCCCGGTGGTGGCTGGGTGACAGACTCCTGAAATCCTCCTTTTCTTCTCCTTTTTCTTTCTCCTATTAGAGTCTCTCCTGCCAGCCCCACCTACCCTTGCTCCTGCCTCACTATTGGTCAGCTGTTCAGCTCTTTATTAGACCATCAGTTGTTTTAGACAGGCACAGTAACACAGCTGAAAATAATATTCTACCACACCTGGATTTGATTCTGAGCGCCTACGTGGCTGCTAATAACCATCTGTAATTCTAGTTCCAGGTGTTCTGATACACAAACATACAAGGCAAGATACCCATACACATAAAATAAAAATAAATTAAGAGGAAAACTAAACTGTCTGCATCTGACACTTCCTTAGTGCTCTCATTAGAGACAAAAGCAGTGTCCCCTGCAGGAGGCCAGTAGCTGCTTGATGTATATAAATTGCAACTCTGATGTTATCAGTTGATATTATTTTGTAGGGAAAGTACAAAGAAAGATCACTCCTTGGACTTTCCCTTCTGGATGTGTCTCCTGACTGGAGGCCTAAGGGGTCGTGTTTTCTGTGCAGTAGGCAGGGCTGCCCAGTGACATCTACTCACCCACAGCCTTGAGGAAGAGTTTCTTATCTGTCAGAACCTCTATGAAGTCAGAGAAGTTGATCTTACCGTCCCCTGCAACAGGAATCTGAGCTCAGAACAAGCATATTCCTAAAGGCTTATATAAACGAGAGAGGAGAGAGAGAGACAGAGAGAGACAGACAGAGAGAGAGAGAGAGAGAGAGAGAGAGAGAGAGAGAGAGAGAGAGAGAGAGGAGAGAATAGCCTAGCCTAGACTGGCTTCAAACTTGGAATCCTTCTGCCTCTGCCTCCAGTTTGCTGAGATTACAAATGTCTGCTACCATGCCCCAGTTATGGGGTATTTTAATTATGTAATGTATGTTAAGTATACAGGCTATAGTTGCCTGAGCCACCTAATTCTAAAATCAGCATATTCAGGACTGGAAAGATGCTCAGGTAAACTTTGGTTTCCTTTCTCTCCTCCTTAAAGAGACTATTTTTGGTAGTACCTCCCTATGTAGCTCATGCTGATCTTGAACTTAACCTCATTTTTACATCAGTCTTCATGACTTGGTCTATAATTACACTAGTCTCTTGTAGCCAACACAAGCAATGGCAAGGTATAAGCATTCAGCAAATACTCTTAGCTACTGTTGTCCTTTGTTAGACAGGGTAATTTTCACAAGCATGTCTCTCTTGCACACCACTGCCTCTAAAATTAAAAGACAGTTGTCGAGCAGTGGCAGCACTGGGAGGCAGAGGCAGGCTGATCTCTGTGAGTTCAAGGCCAGCCTGGTCTACAGAGTGAGATTCAGGACAACCAGGACTATATAGAAAAACTCTGTCTCTGAAAAAACAAAACAAAACAAAAAAGCAAAAAACAAACAAAAACAAAACAGCAACAAAAATTCCAACAACCAAAAGCAAACAAACAAAAAAGACAGTAAGTATTATTAGAGGATGTGTGTATGTACTTGAAAGAATAAAACAATTGGGCAGACTTAGTGGAAAGAAGTGATAAGTTTAATTATCTGGTGACATTGTTTCACTGGTAGTTGGGTGAGGAGGGGCAAGAGAAAATAATAACCTGTAAACATTTTCCACACAACATATTGGGTTGGATTCCAGGCACAGGCCATTGCATTTGAGAGGTAGAGGCAGAAGCATCAGCAGTTCAAGGCCAGCCTCAGCTACATAGCAAGTTAGAGGTCATCTTGGGATATATTAAGACCCTACTTCAAAAAACCAAACCAAATACCCACAATAAGAAGCCCCAAAGATGAGAACAAACAAATTCTGTGATATGTATGTGATGGGCGATATGTTATAGAAATGGATACTTTGTTTTGGAATGGATTTTCATTTACTGATACAATTTAAGGTCAATTTTATGATATGTATATTTCTCCTCTTATTTAGGTATTGTGTTTTTATAGCTCATTTAGAAATGTAATGTATAATTTTGTACAGATTATAGATAGTTACCTATAATAGTCAAAACTTATAGTTAGTTAGGTTTTCTAGATATACAGAGATGTATTTGAGATGATATGAATTCTTCAAACCTTTCAAAGACCTACAGAATATGGCATTTAAATTGGTTTAGGGTTTTCGTGACAGTGAGACATAATTGCTTTTGGCAATACCAGAAAGGAAGATGGAAGATGGACATCGAAGAAAGGCATTATGAAGTTTGCTTTCAATATGGCAAGACTAGCCATTTGGACAAGATACTGCTGTTGTCTGGACTGTTTGACTTTATGCTGTATAAACTGGACATGCAGGACCCACAGAAAAGTGACTGCTGATTCAAGATGGACATTGCTACAGAGTTCCTGCTTCATGGAAGAGTCTGCCAGACAGTCTGCAGGACACAGAGAAAAGTGACTGACAAACTGCCAATACAAGAAGACAGTTTAAAGTTTCCTGCTTTGCTGAAGAGTCTGCCAGACACACTATGGCCTATGGGCTAAAGATGGAAGATTACAGAAGAACTTCGGTTGACTAACCAGGCAAGATGTCTCTGTCATTTCTAGAGTTTATATACTATCCTTGTGTGGTCTTTGAAGGAGTTGAAGACAGATAGTTATGGTTATAGTTTTCCTTAGTTAAGCTTAAGGATAAGTTACATATATGACTTTAGACTCACAAATATAGGATAGATGATAGAATAGTTTCTTTTAATCTTGCTAAATGTTAATGGACTAAATACTGTTAACTGTGATTCTTATTTGATAACTGTTATGTGATATATTTTGCTATGTTAAGGTTAAAACCCTTCTTTTTATTTAGACAGAAAAGAGGAGATGATGGGAGATGCCATTATGTATATATGTTTCTCATACTGGTTAATAATAAAGCACTGTTGGCCAATAGGAAAGCAAGATAGGCGGGACTAGGAGACAAGGAGGATTGGAGGAAGTAGTAAGGAGGGTCAAGATGGAGAGTCTGGAGAAGGCAGAACCACCAGCCGCCTCTCGATGGTAAGACCACGTGGAAATACATAGAAATGGGTTAATATTTAAGACAGAGCTAGCCGATAAGAAACAAGTACCCGGGCCAACAGAATTGTATCTAATACAGAGTCTCTGTGTATTATTTGGGGCTGGTGCAGTGGCAGGACAAGACTCGGCGGCGGGTGGAAAAAACCATACTCTTTACATGTATGCATTAACATACTACCAGCATTTCTCTGGCATTTAAACTTCAGTGTGTTCTCAGGAGAGAAGAGAGATTCGCATTGTTGTGGCTCAAATGGAAACTGTGGGTGGGCTTAGAGTTTTTTTAGTGTTCTGCTGTTTTTGTGAAGCTGCTTATGCCTTAAATCTCTCAGCTACTTCAAGACATCCTCTAAAGTGAGCATCATGACAAATACTTCAATTTGGGATTGAGAAGGGACAGTCACTCTTGATTTCCACACAGGAATTTTCTCAAAATTTCTTTTAGCTCATACATATACCCCATTAAAGAGAAACAGATAAAGATAAGGTAGTTCCTTGTCCATGGGGGAAATAGAAGTTACATTTCAAGACTTCCAAGCCTTAAATCCTTGGCAAGACCTGAGTGTGGTGGCTCATGCCTACAATCCCAGCCTTTGGCAGGATGATAGACAGTAAGTTTGTGTTTCTCTTTAAATATATCAATGCAGTATATATTTAAGGTTAAAAAAATCTAATATTTTTAGAAAATATCTGATAGATTAGTAATAGTAAGAGATTAGCAACAAAAATAAAAATAATTATAACAATATACTTGTGTGTGTGTGTGTGTGTGTGTGTGTGTGTGTATGTGTGTGTGTTTCTGTAGCCCTGGCTGTCCTGGGACTCACTATATAGACCATCCTGTCTTTCCTCCTGAGTGCTGGGGTTAAAGGTGTGTGCCACCATGTCCAGCCTCAACAATATACTATTATAAAAACATATTGCTGTGGTCTTTTTCTCTTAAGAGAGTTTAGACAAATATTAATATCTTTGAACCATAGTTGACTCAGTTAATTGAAACCATGGAAAGTGAGATGTAGGTCAGGGAAGATAGCCTTACTTTTGTTTAGAGGTAAATTTTTGGTGAATAAGGGATACAGGATACAGGATAGATGATAACAGATACAGTTATAGAAGTTATTTTATGAGAAAATAATAAGTCAAAATACTCACTGTCAAGATCAGCACATTTTAATTCATTATAGATGTCATACGTGTTTAGACTCATCCCCAGTTTAGCCAAGGTGGCCATCAACCCATGTGAATCAATACAGCCAGTTTTATCCTTGGTGAAGAAGTTGTAAGCATTCCGGAAGGCTGAGGAAATGGAATTACATTAGTCAGGACAGTTATTTAAGAAGAAGCACAGTCAGGAATGGTAGCTTCTGCCTATCACTCCAGCACTTGGAAGCTGTGGTGGGGAGACTGATGATCCGAGGCCCTGCTTAGGCTAAACAGCAACGTCTAGGTCAGCTCGGGCTACAGAAGTGGAGAAGGGGGAGGGGGAGAAACATATATACCAACAGGACTAGGGGACATCATATAGCCAATTGAAAATGGTGTTCTGAAAAAAAAAACATGGAGAATGAATAATAGAATTTTTTAAAAGATAGAATGCTGTCTTTTCTTGGGATTTGAACTAGAATCAAGTAGAAAGTATAGAATAAAGTAGAATTCATAGTAACTGGTGGAAAAACCAAATATAGAGCCAGGCATAGTGGTGCATACTTATAACCAATGCATTTGAGGGTAGAGAGAGAAGATTAGGTATTCAAAACCAGCCTTGATTACATAGTGAATTTGAGGCCAGATCTTGTGTATCAAGAAATCAAAGCAAAATAAAAATACACATATTATCTACTTTCCCTTTTATCACCATTACTTGACCATTCGTCTCTTTGTATTAAATATTTAATTATTTTTAATTTTCATTCTTTTTACAGTACTGGGGATTGAACCTAGGGCCTCATATGCTAGGCAACTGCTCTACCAATGACCTATATTCCCCTAGCTTCATTATTTATTGCTATCATATAGACTCATATGTGTTTATTTTATATTTTGGGTTAACATATCAAAAAGGTAGTGGAGGAGAGGAACGCATGTATGTATGTGTATGTGTGTGTGTATGTGGCGTGGGGACAGTCAGGCCTTCGGCAAGCAAAGGTGCTCCTCTTCTTTTCCCTCCTTTTTTGTGTGCATGAGTGCAGGGTATTTGTGTGTGTGTGCTGTATGGCATGTGTGGATATGCTCACCTTATCCTTTGATATAATGAATAGCAGGTTTTCCTGGACCACCAGCCCCCAAAATGACATGGAGAATTATTATTATGAATGCTCGGTCTTAGCTTAGGTTTGCTTCTAGCTAATTTATTTTTCCTTTTTCTTAATTGACAATTTTTAAATTTAAATTTGAAACAAGCTTGGTTTACATGACAATCCCAGATCCCTCACCCTCCCCTCTTTCCCATCCCCAGCAACCCCCATCCCAAACCTTCTTTCTTTAACTTAAATTAACCCATTTTATTAGTCAGTGTGCCACCTCGAGGCTTGTTTCCCTCATCTATGTACTGCCCATCCTACTTTCCTGCTTCCTTGGTGTCTATCTGTCTGCCCCGATGGGCTAGCCCCCTATCTGCTGTCTAGCCCCCCTGCTGGCTGGCTCGCTCTCCTTTTCTCTCTGTCCACGGGCCTTGCCTGTATCTCCTCTGCTTGGCTATTGGCTATACAGCTTTTTATTAGACCAATCAGGTGCAGGCAAGATGAAACAGCCATACATCTTTACATAGTTAAACAAATATTCTATTCCACAAGCTCCAGCAACAATCCTGTTTCCCCCATCTGGGTACTGGCGTGATAGTGATGCACAGCTTTTTATGTGGGTGCTGGGATCTCAACTCAGCCCCTCATGCTTGCGCTTGTGTTTGTGTGGCAGGTGCTCTCTTCCCAGCCCCCTGTAGGTTTTCTGGTGTAAATGTTGTGCCTTTTTTTGGATAGATTCTGTTTTCTCACTGGAACATTCTTCTGCATTATTCCCTGACTTACTGGTCCATCAATCAGCTTTCTCTAGAGTCTCTTCTTGGTCCCAGAAAACGAAACAGGACACTATGTTATGGTTCCATAACACTCTATACTTCTCTCATATCTGTGTCATCAATAATTTTGTAGTTTAACTGTGTATTTTCTTTGCATGTTTCCTTCCAGAGCAGGAGCATGTCTCATTGCTGTTATGCCTAGAACACTGTTGGCCTAAATATATATTTGTTGTTTGGACCAATGGCCTGTAGATAGTATATCAAATTTCATCATTATCATTTTTTTTCCTGTGTCTAAGAAATCCTGGTATTTAATTTCATTTTAATTTAATTTGGTCTTTTGAGAACAAAACTGTTTGGCTTGTCAAACACTATGTAGACCAGGCTGTCCTCAAATTTGTGATCTTTTTGCTTCTCCAGGCCTCCCTAATGCTGGGATTACAGATACATGTAATCATACCTGCCAGTCCTGGCACTTTGTGTTTATACTGTTTAATTAGCTGATTAGTATGTGACCTTGGATTTGTTGTTTATCAACCTTACAAGTTATCTGGTAAGAATATTTGACCTAGCCGGGTGGTGGTGGCACCCACCTTTGATCCTAACATTCAGGAGGCAGAGTCAGGTGAACCTCTTTAAGGCCAGCCTGGTCTACAAAGTGAGTTCCAGGACTGTTACACGGAGAAACCCTACATTGAAAAACAAACAAACAAACAAACAAACAAATAAATAAATCTTGACTAGGTCTGTTTCAATTCTTGAGTGATATCAATTTGAAAGTCACCCTCCTTCCATCTAGCATTAGATTATTTTTTATTTCCCATAGGGCTTTGGTTGGTAGGCCATGCAGGCTTTGAACTGAGTACTAGCTTTCTGAGTTATAAGTGTGCACCATCACACCTGGTTAAAAGTTTTCTCTCCCCTCCACTTACCCTCTCTTAAGCGATGGGATGATACAGATTCTCTTTGAAATCCCAAGTGTGCTTTAGAGAATGGTCAGTATGGGAGCTAGCTGGATGCAATGGCACATGCCTTCAGTTCTCACACTTGGGGGGCAGAGGTAGGACTGCTATGAGTTCTAGGCCAGCCAGGGTTACACAATGAGCAGGCCAGCTTTAGCTCTAAGACCCTGCTTCAGAAATAAATAAACCAAGAAGTTCACAGATGCATGGAGGTGGTTGTTATCAAGCCTTGTTTGTTTGTTTGTTTAAAACAGGGTTTCTCTGTGTAGCCCTGGCTGTGCTGGAACTCACTATGTAGACCAGGCTAGCCTTGAACTCACAGAGATTCACCTGCCTCTGCTTTGGAGTGCTGGGATTAATGGCTTGTGTATCCCTGCCCTGGCTGTTGATAGGTTTTAACATTTAGGATGATTTTCATTACCTTCCAGTTGTGAAGGGGTTAGCTTCCCTTCTTTGTGTTGTAAATGGCCTGGAAGAGATCCTCGGAAGTCTTTATCTCTGGGAAGAGACATGAGAAGTGTCAGATTTAATGCAAGTATGGAACCTGAGATTGTATTATCTAACTTGTTTTAGGTTTCCAGCTTTTACTAACACTATTTCTTTTTGTTTCCCTCTTTATCTCCTAACTTGACCTTCTGCAGATTCTGGTCTGCTCACACCCAGGTTACTATGTATGTGTTGTGTTTCTAAATAAAAAATAAAAATAGCTAATTTTTATATGATGCAAAAGACGTAAGCAGACAGAAATATGATGTCCTCAAAACCCCAAACAAAACAGAAGGCCAGGTGGACAAAGACTTTTGTTAATTACAAGTAAGAAATATCCACGGAGCCAGGTGGTAGTATCACATGGCTTTAATCTAGCACTCCGGAGGCAGATGCAGGAGGATTCTATGAGTTTGAGGCCACAGAGAGACCCTGTCTTGAAAACAAAACAACAACAACAAAACCCCAAACAAACAAAAACCAAACCAAACAAAGAAAAACCTCACAAAAACCTGTGGGCTGGGCGATAGTGGCACATGCCTTTAATACCCCCACTCAGGATGCAGAGCAGGTGAATCTCTGTAAATTTGAGAGTGAGTTCCTGGACAGCCAGGGCTACCTTGTCTTGGAAAAACAAAACAACCCAACCCAACCCAACCAAAACAACACCCCCCCCACACACACCCTGCAGAAAGTCCATTTGATAATATTTCAAAGGATCACAGAACTTCCTATTTGAAACAAACACAGCTCTGCCTCTCTTCTAGTGTGGGGATTCCCTTCAGCCGGTTTTAGTCGTTGCTGGACTGTTCTCAATGTCAAAGAGCTTACCATTCAAAAGGGGACAGTAGCAACAGGGGCTTGGCTGCTGTGAGGTTATTGTCCTATTTCTTTCTTTAGAAATGTCAGAGATATATTGTTTTTAGCAGTGGCAAAGCTGGAAAAACCCTCAAAGTGGGACTTAGTGTATCTTGGGCTCTCACTTTCAGCCATTCATGGCTGTTTACTGGAATTTGTTGGCAGCTGACTGAGAAAGCATTGCTATGACAGGAGAAAGAATCTCCCTTGTATGTCATGGGGCTGTGCATGGCTAATTTACTGGCCTTCCTTTGAGAGAATGGGAAGGAGAACTCTACTTTTATCTAGCCAAAAAGAACATTCATTCTTTTTTCTTTATTAGAAAAATCTGCACATAAACTGACAGAATGGTTCAGCGGAAAAGGTGCTTGCTGCCAAGCATGAGGATCTGAGTTTGATTCCTGGGACCCTCAGGGTGGAAGGGGAGAACTGACCCCTGCAGGCTGTCCTCTGACCTCCGTAGGCACACAGTGGTGCACAATGTGAGCACACATACAAAAGAAGTACAATATAGAAAACCCTTTAACTCAGATGTTCTAAGCAACTTTGCCACAGAACAAAATACTCTAATTGTCTCATCCTAGTCTCCATAATGTAATTTATAGCTACCTTATCTGAAGATAATCCCCTCATACTTTATTACCTACCTCTTGTGAAAGATGGGTGCTTTTAGGGGTTTCAGCTTCAGTGTTGATTTAATTCCTGATACTGCCATGGGACCAGAGACTCTTTCTGGGATTCAGAAGACACAAGAAATGATCAGTCTATAGATCCACTATAGATCCAGTCATTCCAGTCATTCATTCATTCTCCATCATTCACTTTGTAGTTCAGCTGGCCTAGAACTCAGTCCTTCCTACCCAAACTTTTCCAGTACTACAATTGTAGGCATGTGCCGCCATATCTGTTTATAGAATCATTTCTTTGCATTCTTTCCCAGATTTCCTGCTCAAGGCTGGAGGCTAAAAAGTCTGGGATTTCAAAGAATGGCATCATATGCAAATCCAAACTAGAATTTTATGCAAAATTGGAGGGCTGTGCGGAAAGGTCCATGTGTGCCAAGATGTATAAGCAAAATTTCATGTCATAATTCTACCTTTTAAAAAAGTCTCTTTGATCTTGTATAAAAATAAAGCTGGGGCTGGAGATGGCTCAGTGGTTAAGAGCTCTTACTGCTCTTGCAGAGCACCCACATGGCTGCTCACAACCATCTGTACAGTCCAGTCCCAAGGGATCCAGCACCCTCTTAGGGCCTTCATGGTCATCTGCATATATATATATATATATGTATATATATATATATATATATATATATACACACATACACATTAATAAAAATCATGTCTTTTTTTGTTTTGTTTTGTTTTTCTGTATAGCTTTGGAGTTTGTCCTGGAACTCACTCTGTAGACCAGGATGTCCTTGAACTCACAGAGATCTGCCTGCCTCTGCCTCCCAAGTGCTGGGATTAAAGGCATATGCCACCAACTTCTGGCAATAAAAAATCATGTCTTAAAAAAAAAACAACCAAAAAAAAAAAAAAACTAAATAAACTCTAAACAAAATAAGCCAGGCACATGAAGAGAAATATTTTCTCACTTGCATGTAGAATCCACAATAGTCAAACCCATAGGAACACAGAATGGTGGGAAGAGGGTACAGGAAGAGGTTGGTTGGGTAAGGAACACAAACCTTCAGTTATACCAGGTGAGAAGCCTGTAAAGAGACCTGATGTATAACACTACGGATAGGTAGCACCACTTTACACAGTACTCAAAATCTGCCTACGTGCCTCTGCTCCATAAAAACTATGCAAAGGTGACTGTTATGTTAGTTTGATTGCAGCAATTATTTTACAGTGTACACATACGACAAACTATCAAACTGTATACCTTAATTAAAAAAATCACATATGGTACAAAGCATGTACAAAGCATAGATAGGAAAAATTAAAAGATAACATTTATTCCAAAACATTTCATGTGACAATTGCCAAAAAAGAAAGTGTTAAATCATTTTGCTTATTTGTTTCAGTCTTATAATACCCACCACGTAGTAAGTAAATTTTCTGAGGCTTTCCTTCTGGGACTCACATCCTTGTCCACTGCTTTCCCATAAAAGCAGAGTGAGTAGCCTCTTTCACAGACTGTTTGATGCTACACTCTCCTCGTCCTCCCTTCCTCCTGCATAGTCTAAGAAATGGCCTGCAGATCAGGGGCTGGGAGGCAATCATCCTCTCTGGGTTTTTTTTTGTTTTTTTTTTTTTCACTTCAGTTAGCTTTCCAAACTATAGAGTATACCAGCAGACAGGGCTGCTAGCTTGGGAATAAGGAATCAGCAAGTACTGTTGAGCCAGAAGGGGGGAAATGGTTCAGAATGTTTGGTTAGAATTCATTCCTCCCAGGTCACTGCCTCAGAACCTGGGAAGCCACTGTTTCTAAACAACTCAATTACACAGCATTCAGAATCTAGAACCTACCATAAAGCTGGGGACCTCAGAGACGCTCAACAAGCTAGGCACTTGAAAGGTGCTGTCAAATTGTCCCCATGGCTCGAAATAATCATTACTTAAAAATAAATACCTTCAATCTCTTATATAGTTGATTTCTTTTTTAAAAAAAAAAAAGCACTTAGCATAGAATCATACAAAATTCTGACATATACCTACTTTTGAGCTGTGCTACTAACCAACCATTAGCAACCAACCATCTGAGGCTTGAGATCAAGAATCCAATAAAGAAAGGGTTTGTTCCATCACACAGCTGTGACCTCATTCACTGCTCAGGCCTGGGCTCAGGGAGAAGGTGACCTGTGGGCTCCTGCCAGGGTTAGAACAAATGTGTATTTGGGGGTTCACTTGTACCTCAGTGGCACATGAGGAAATGAATGACGGAATCATAGCAGTTTGAGCCTGTTGAGACCTTAGAGAAGAGGACTTTTTTTTTTTTTTTTTTTTTTTTTGCTCTAACTTATGTATGGGTATATTTTCTTTAGTGTGTAGAAATTTGTTCAAGTAAAGTATTTTACCCAGGTCCCTTGATTGAAAAGTAATTAAAAAGCATTTCAATAATTTTTTTTAAGTCTAGAAAGGGAAAAAACCCTCATGTGCTTTTATTCTTTTTCAAAATTAATATTTTTATACCTATGTGTATATGCGTGTGTCTATGCACATGAATCCTGGTACCCACAGAGGCCAGAGGCATGGGATCTCCTGGAGCTGGAGTTACAGGCAGTTGAGAACCATCTGATGTGGGTGTTGGGACTTGGGTTCTCTGGAAGAACACTGTTTGTTCTTAACTGCTGAGCCATCTCTCCAGCCCACTTGCATTCTTTAACAGTGGGAAAAGTGAGTTAAATAGAGCAATTAAAATGGTCAGGCATGGTGACGTGGGCCTATGATCTGAGTACTTGGAGGGCTCAAGCCGGGGATTGTGAGTTTAAGATTCTATCTCAAAACAAAAAGGCAGAAACCATAATATTCATGTTGTGACTTTTCTCATAGCATTTAAACCCTTGAAGCCAGTGATGGTCCAGGCCTTTAATTCCAGCACTTGGGAGGCGGAGTCAGGAAACTCTCTTTCAGTTCAGAGCCTGGACTACTTAGAAAGTTCTAGGCCAGCCAGGGTTACAAGGGAAGACCTCACTCTCAAAAAACCAAAACCAAACCAAACCAAAACCTCCCTGCAAACAAGTCAACCACCACCACCACCACTACCACCACCACCACCACCACTGCTGCACAGGGGTGAGGAGGGCCTGTAATCTACTGTGGATAAACACAGGCTCTGGCTTCTAAAAAGGGTTAGGGTTACCCAGCCACAGTGTTTCCAATTGTTGCCTATTCTAGGTCTGAATGTTTCAGGATGAAGATAACTTTCTCAAACCAAGTTTCTCAAACGTGTCTACCATTCTGGTCAGGAACACAAGGGGAAAGAGGAAGGAGGTTTAGTTTCTAAATTAATTCAACAAATATATATTAGAGGCTTCCTATTTTAAAATGGGGATAACGTCAGTTCCTATTGGATGGAGTTGGTGAGAAGTAAACCTTGGGTTTCTTTTTAAATATTTATCTCATTCTTTAAATTATTTTTAGATTTGTTTTTATTATTTTATGTGTATGGGTGTTTTGCCTGCTTGAATGTCTACACCACATAATCACCTTGTGCCTAAGGAGGTGGTGAGAACCTCTTATATATGGGTGCTGGGAATCGAACAGGGATCCTCTGCAACAGACAAATGCTCCTAACCACTGAACCAATTCTCCACCCCCTATTTTGTTGTTTTAAAAATTATGAAATTATTTTATGTGTATAGGTATTTTGCCTGACTGTGTATCTGTGTACATGTGTGCTTGGTGCTTAGGGAGGCCAGAAAGGGCATCGGACTGGCTGGGGCTGGAGTCACAGAGGGTTGTGGGTCACCTTGTGAGTTCTGGGAATCAAACAGTACTCTCCTAGAAGAACAGTATGCGCTTTCATCCACTGAGCCATCTCTCCAGCCCTAGACTGTGGTTCCTTTACAGAGAGAACCTCATTATGTTTTCCTAGGCTAGCTTCAAATTCCTGAGCTCAAATTCCTCCTGCCCCAGCCTCACAAACGTGTAGGACTGCAAGCCTGGGCCAAGTGCCTAGATAGAAGTAAAAACACCCAATTGTTATTTCTTATTCATTGTGTTAAAGTCTGTGTTATATAGAGGCAGCTACCTTCACTTGTATTTGTGTGTGTGCTGGGGTTCAACACAACGGTTTCATGCAGGCTGGCAAGTGCTCTGTCTACCACAGAGCTGCCCCCTGCTCCTGGATCACTTTATAAGTGTATAGTTCAGTACTGTTAACTACGTTTATTTTGTTACATACCAGCTACTGAATGTTTTCATCCTACAAAGCAAAACACCATGTTCATTAAATAACATCTCTTTCCCTGTCCTTCCAACTCTTCATAACCACCCTACAGCCTATGCTTGTAAATAATCTGACCACTCTAGAGATCTCTTATCTCTTTCTTTCTTTCTTTTTTTTTTGGTGATTGACTTATTTTACTCCCTAATATCCTCAAGGTTCGTTCATCTGTGGTGTGGTTTTCTAAAAAAGCTGAGTGCCACATTTTGTCCCTCGTTTATCCACTGATAGAAACCTGCATTGTTTTCCCTTCCGACTGCTATGGACACAAGGACCACCACTCACTCCCCGTGGATCAACTTTTGCTTATTTATTTTTTGATAGGGTCCTGACTTTAACCCTGGCTGGCCTGGAACTCACTCTGTAGACCAGGCTGACCTCAAACAGAGGTATGCCTGTCTTTGACTCCCAAATACTTGATTTATTCTTGAAAAATGGTAAAAAAAAAAAAAAAGTCAGAGTGCTGGAGAGATGGCTCAGTTGTTAGAGCACTGGCTGCTGCTCCAGAGAATCCTTGTTTGATTCCCAGAACCCACATGTTGGCTCACAATCATCTGTAACTACAGTTCCATGGGCCATCTGTCACCCTCTACTGGCCTCTTGGAGTATTGCACACTCATGGTGTACATGCAGGCATTAATTCTTTACACATGAAATAATTCTTTAAAGTGCATAAAATGTTCCCAGCATCAATCTTAGAGCAAATTATAATATTAAATCATCTAGTCTCTGTTCTATAAACTACTAAATACTGTGATTTTTGATAATATTCATATCATTTCCCCTTCTTGATCTCTTTCAAATTCATGGCCTCCTTCTTCATTAATTGTT